TCAGCTCAAAGTATACCGTTACGTAATTATTCTCGAAATCGAAACATTGCGAAATGTTACAAGAGAAATGGGGAAGAGGAATTTTTTCTTCGTTTGCTTCGTTTACCTCTCACCGTGATTGACATTGGAAGTAAACAATTTTCCGAAGCGTGCGAATATTTGTACTACATTAATACATTCTACACGCGTGCACAAACACATTCACATTCGTACATAGGATTTGGGCAAACAACGTTAACGCTGATTGCGTTGACATTCAGCACTTAAGCAAACGCCGGCGGAAAATGGCAAATTGAATTCACAACAAAAAGATAAAATACACGCTTTCAAGTATCCAAGGCCCCATGTTATGTGTACATCCATACATCCACACGAGTACGAGTGTTTGTGTGCACACCAAAATAGTATCAAAACAAACATCGATTTGGCTCTACGGCAGTGTTCAGTGAAATAAAAAACTACAATAAATTTAAAGGAAATCAGTTTGAGTGTCATAGTGTACATGCAACAGAGGTGTGGGGAAGTGGCTCGAGAGTGCTCACATGACAAATGCTCTTCAAATCTATACAACAAATAAAAATTGCTTCAAAAGTGCAAATTCAACAAAAATATTAAATAAACGCGCTTGCAAGTAAACGAGATATTGAGCGAAAGGAAGCTTAGGGGATATGTTGGATATGGATTGTGGTCCCTGAAGCCATTTTTTGGCCGTGTTATGCGTTTTAATGTTTTTCCAACAAAATGGACGGATCCACAGTTTATAGTAACTCGCCTAAGCATCCGAACAGCTGATTGCTTTTTATGAGGAGTTTTGATTTTCATGTTGGAAATACATTCGGAGGGCCACTGCGTCACTATGAGTCACTTCTGTTTACGCCACTTTCCATTTTCGGACAGAAAAGTAACGGTTTTCAGGCCAAATGCACAAGCTTAGGATTTCACTTCCTTAGTTTCCATATTTTAAAAATCCAACAACAAAGAGAAAATCTTGCCAAAGTTGATTGGGCAATATTTGCGACTGTAAACGAGCCCGAGTTATTTCGGCGGAGCAAACATTTCAGAGAATAATAAACTTTATAGTTTTATTTTTGATATCATAAGTATGTTTATTACTATTTATACTAATTTTTGCCAATGCTCTAAAAATAGTTTACATGATTCCACTAAAATGTAGATATAATAATATTTTATAAGGTATAATAATATGCATTATTACTTCGGTTTTTATATTCAATATTCTGTTCATGGCTTATGTGGTTTCGATAATATTTCATTGGGGATTCTGTTCTTTTTCATCTTCTGGCTTCATAAGTGACTAGTGTAGGGTATGTATGTATGTATGTGATCTACAATTGACGCTGGAAAAGTCATCATAGGCCTCACATTTGTTTTCGGAATTTCGATGTACATAAACTGCTAGTACATACATATGTAAGAGTAAATGGTATGTATGTAAAAAATGTATATATCTTATGTACATATGTATATATGTATGAGTACATAGTCAATTAAGATATTCTGTGTGTGTGTATGTGTGTTTCGCTTGTGTGTAAGCATATATGTACTAATTTCTTAAAGGAATCTTTTTCTTATGAGTGCGTTTTATTTTTAGCTTAAAATTTGCCTAATTTCCGTTTTCTACTTTTTGTAAGGAAAAATATTACGTATATTCTTGTGTAAATTTTTGCCATGCTGTAGTTAAATAATCTTATTTATTTTCTTAGTTTGAATTTTTTTCGAAGAATTGCATAACTCAATTCTTATTACACGTGCTCTTCTAATGCTTCTTCTTCTTCTTCTTCTTCTTCTTCTTCTACCACCACACTACTGGATGACGTTTTTAATGCAAAGAACTTTTTGTCAACTACGAAATTTTCAAACTAGGCAATTCTCGTATCAGCGGAATATTCTAGAAATACGTGTATACTGGACTAATGTGTGTGCCTGCGTATGTATGTATGCATGTATGTATGTATGTAATTATGCACAAGTTAACGTTTTTAAGTTTAGTTTTAAGTATTGAAAACTGTCTCTAAGTTAAACGAAGTGTATGTATGTAAGTACCACTACTGATATTATTAAATTGTTTTTGTATGTAGTATGCAAGCACGTATGTATATGAATTTTTAATTAATTGTAATGCATAAAACATATTTATTTCTCCATTTGTGCTTTGCAGCTCGAGTGATTTCGTTTTAATTCATTGACTTTGAAAACTTTTTGAGACGCTTATCGCCGTCCTATTGTATTTATGTATGTAATTATGTCTGTATTGTACGAGTGTATGTATGCGTATTTATGTATGTCCAAATGTTAGCATAAAAATTATATTTGATATTAGCATACATATCTACATTCCTTCAACAACGGCTTTTGTACGCGCTACTCTTAATATTTGTGTAAATATATATGTTTGTATGTGTGTACGTAGGTATGCATAAATGGAATGAATTATTTGTAAATTTTTTACTTAAATCTCCTCTCATTATATATTGTATCTCAGAGCCTAAAATCATTGAGTACTCGTATGTCGTTGTTTTGTTGCTTTTGTTTTTGCTTTTGTTTTTGTTATTCTTAAGTTAATGTAATTATTTTAAAAATTCCTTTAATATTTTTTTCATTGATTCAAATATATTATTTTTTTTTGCCAACGCAATGGTATATTGTGTTTCTTGTTAATCTCATTTCAAGTCTTATTTTTTTCAAAATATTTTATTCACTTGTTTATTAATTAATTATTAATAATATTCGTATAATTGCATCTTCACATTTTCTTCGTTTAATATGCACTAGAAATATTCTTTACCTTTATATTCATTGTTGGTATATAATATTCAATAATTTTGTATGTATTTATATTTGAATTAATATACTAATTACAAATTGTATGGTTTTGGTGTTATTTGGTTGTATATTCCATTGTTTCCGCTTATTTTTCCTTTTACTATTCATCATATAATTATTTAAGCGCTATTCTTAAAAATTATTATTCCTTTATTTGATTTATATTTTCTTGCTTTAAATCAGTGTGAATCAATTTCCGATTAATAACCTGTGTGTATGTGTGTGTGTGTGTGTGTGTGTGTGTGTGTGTGTGTGTGTGTGTGTATGTGTGTGTGTTGCATTCCAGAAAACTTGTATCATTGATCGTACCACTCGAAATCAAAATCTTGAAGCAAAAAATAAAGAAAAAAAAATTATTGAGAAAAGGTGAGTTCATTTCATTATACTCGTAGAGTCTTCTACTGTCAAGCAAAAACTATTTTTCAACAAGGAAAGTAATCGTATATTTGAGTAAATCTCCGAAACAAAATAAATTTTCTAATGGTTCTAAAAAGAAATCAAGAAATTATGGGTAATTTATTTAACAACGGGTTTAAGATGAGATATTTTGATGGAAAGCCGTCGAAGTGTTGTCTGGTAACTTTTAACTGTTTAAAGCTATTGCTAATACGATGGCGTAGAAAAAATGTTGCTAACAAAATTTGAATTGTGCATATTTTTACGTCTATGAATCCAACTTTATCTAATTAAAAAAACTAAAATTTCAATCTTATTTCCCGGCATTAAGGTTCTGCAATTTCAAAAAAGTTTTTTACTAATTTATTATTGTTTTAAGTTGCTGGCTTTAACGGTAGCCTTTAGTGCGCAAAAATGGACATTAGGAAAATCTACATATAAAGGGTGTTTTCATTAACGTGTGGTTTTCAATGGGGCAATTGTCTCGAGGAGTGGCATCTGGCGTGCGATTTAGTTTCGCGGAACTATTTTTATGGTGTTTTGTGAAGTCGCTGTCGATTGATTTATATTCGTTTGCCTTTCGGCTGGACTGTATTCGAACCAGCCGCGTCGGTCCTGTGCCTGAAACCACTTTTGAACAAAATGATAAGTTCTATATATATATTATACGAGTAACAAGGATGAATTTTAGGACAAAACATTTAATTATATGCGTGGGATTCCCTTTTGAGGAAACACCCGTGCCGTGACTTTAGCGCTGCAAGTATTAATGTCTGTTTGTCTTTATGTTCTTAGGGATATCTATATGTATGTCATTGTATGTACTTGTGTGTGTGTGTTTGTAAGCAACTGTGTTGTTTTATTGATGTATATTAAATAGTATAAATTTTTAATTCTTTCACTGTATTATATACTTTAAAATGTATATATATATATTATATAATATATGGTCTTGTATATAATCCTTTAATATCTAGAAGTAATCATTACAGCGTTATAAGTACTTATAAATTATAAATTTTTTTGTTGCTTTTGCAGTATCTGTTGGTCAATCTCAGAATGTCGTTGTATATATTTTGAAAATTTAAGTACTAATTTTGCTTGCCGCTACTGACATTTTCAATTAGTTATTATTATTTTTTTAATATGTGTATGTTTGTATGCGTATAGAAGTATATAACTTTTTTGCTCATACATTTTTTTATTTTTTATTTATTTTTTTTATTACTTTGTTAAAATTGCTTTCTACTGGAGCATCACTTTAAAATTATATATAGATATAGATATATATATATATATATATCATATTAATCATGTTCATCTACGATTCTGCACTGCCCTTTCTAAGGCTAATAGCTTGGAATGTCGGCAATTTGAATGGCATTTTGGAAAACAAACAAATGCGAATATATTTTAGCTCAACGTTTAATTAATTCGTATTTCTAACTTAATTGACAATTAATCGTTCAAACTGCTAAAATGCGTGCGACTCTATATAATTTATATATATGAATATATATTTATGTATGTATATAATTTTTGGAATTTTTAGCTTTTTTCACTACTGCTACTACTCTATGTATGTGTATAAGGATTTGTAATTTCAATTGCTGTTTTCGTATTAATGCTTCGCAGATTTCTCACTTATTGCTATAAATTGCTTAAATTTCTCTACTCTTTAGATAATTTCATTTTCCTTGATTTTCATCCTTTGTTTATTTCATTTTTATTTAAATTTTTTTGTTTTAATTTGTGTAATTTTTCATTTTCTCCATAATAATATATTTTTCATTGCATTAAGTTTCTCCGAATTGCTTCCAGTTTCGAATTCGGTTCAATTTTTTTTTTTGTAAAAATAAATCTATTGACTAATTATTATTTGATATATTATATTTATAAATAGTTGTGTGTATGTAATCTTTTGAACCAAGTTCTTCTATCAATCGAAATATGTACATATAATTAAATATAAATACATATGTATATCAATTTTGAAATTTCAGTAAAACATCACTTTTTGCCTTCTTTCGCAGCAATCGAATTCAACTTAATTTTCACGTTCTCAGTGATTTCTGCATTTGATTGGTAAATAAATTTATGTGTGTAAGTTTATTTATTTTATTTATTTAACCTTATACTCATTTAATTCTCATTTCTCCTTTTTTTGTTTTTTTTTTTTTTAATTATAAACTTGATTTATGATTAAGTATTGTCCTTGTGATATGTTTCTAAATGTTTGCTCTCATTTTTTCTTAACTCTGAGTAATTGAATATTAAGTATTAATAGTACTTAATGGTATTTATTTACATATGTTTAAGTTGTAAGAAATTGCATTTATTGTAATCGCTTAGGTTTTACATAATTGAATATAATAGTTAGATTTTCTTTGAGTCAAGTGGAAAAAGCTGGCGCAGATGAGAATTTATCAAAGATTTTATATATCGATAAATGTATTTGGAAAGTGTGTAAACTCAAAATACGGGATTTTTCAAAATCGCTCCCCGATCGGAAATTAAATGCTAACATGAGTTCTTTACCCAAACAATGCCACAATCCTGATGAATTAGTGATCACACTGAACCGTCTGAGTAAACCCGTAAAATATTTTTAAAGCAAAAAAGTAAGCTTCGCAGTTGTATAATTACTTGTATGAGCTTTTTGTGATTTGAATATTCGGCCAAGGACATGCATATTCATTTTCACAACGCGATAATATACAGATATCACTCAGATTACTGGCCGACCATATCTTTTGCAGAACCAGCAGGTGAATTGAAGTGAATTTTGAAGGAAGCAGATAATTTGAATTGACATTATTTGTGGACGGTAACTATATATTCTGTATATGTATTTTGATGCTTGTGTTACAAAGGTGAGGAGAATCTATGAATTCGGAGAAATCAAATACAAAAATTAAAATCTTAGCCAAATAGTTTCTCCAGAAATATGTTTATTTGCTCATGCGCCAGATTTTTTAATATTTCTACTCTAAAGATTTTTGGAAATGTACAAATACAATTGTATTTATGTATGTGTCTAGTAGTTGTGTAAATTGTCGTTCTGAGTAAATTAATGATATTTTATATCTTAATATATTATTTCAAGACTCATTTATCTTATTTAATTGAATTACGGTAATTTAATTGAATTTAATTAGATTTCTTTTGCATAGCTTAATGCCATTTTGTTGCACATTTGGTTTCGCAATTAAAATTTAATGTATGTATGTATATGAAATACTCTAAAAAATATCAACTGTTGTTCGTGTTCATCATTACATTTTGTATTAACGAATCTTTCTGTTTTACTATATATTAGATATATAATCTGTATATTGCATAATCATTTAAGTAAGTATGCAAATGTATGAGTATCAGTAAACATATGCGAGATTATTGGCTTTGATCCTTTCATGCAAAGATCTACTACATAACCTCAAACAAACATAATATAAACTATACAGCATCAAGCGCCAGCCTACATGCGCCTACTCGCTTCCGAGTTGGGAATTATGATCACTTTTTACTTTCAATTTATATTAGAGTACATGGCGCTACTTATTGGTGCGTTTTCTTTTCTTTTAACTATTTAGTATTATTATTTTTTTATTATTTGCGGTTTGTTGTTTTTGTTTTATCTTCGTAATTTTCACTATGAATGTATCAAATGTTCACTTGTCCACAAAGTGCCAACATAACTCATTTTCTACAAATTTAATTGAATTTTCCTTATAAATAGATCCTAATAATATAATATTCGGTTCATAATAATTTCAATAATTGTAATAATATAATAATTTTGTTGTATATATATAAATGTATGTATATATAGAATTTCTACTTATGTTCCATAATATTCGTTGCATGGGATTTTTACTTAAAGTTGGTAGGTTTTGTATTGTTTTTTTTTTTAATTGCGTTTTTTTTTGCGAAGAAATGTCCAGCCTCCGCTTAAAATTTCTTTTCTGAATTCATCTACTTTTGACTTTACAATCGAAGTTTATGGTGAAGCAAAAGCTACTTCTACTCTCGTTACATATTTAAAATGCTAGTCGTAATGACATTTCCTATAGTGAGTTTTGGCAAAGCTTTCATTTCGGAAAAAGCTTTCAATTTAGTAGAAGCTTTCACCTTTTTAAGATTTAATTTTCCCCAATTTCGGGCAGATGTTTTAATTTTTGCAGAAGCTTTTAAATTTTCAGTGTTGGGTTGTTAAGATTTTAAATTTTCTTATTTTAAGTTTACATCAGAAAAAAATTCACTTTGTAAAAATTTTCAGCAGAAGCTTTCACGTTTCTAAGCTTACTTACCCTATAATAACTTACAAGTTATTCTGCGCTTGCACTCATCATTTATGCTACAACAATATCCTCATCGTTATCATCACTACTATGGGCCGTGGTGGACTCACCCTCACCCTCGCACTCAACATCGCCATCACCATTCGTGCCTTCATTGACCGTGTAAAATTCCGCCGCCTCTTCGCTGGACATGTTCATTACGTCCTTCAGGCAAGACGACTCGAGATGTTTGTTGAGATACGACTTCAGCGCGAACGTCTTGTGACAGCGTTTGCATTCGAAATTTTTATCCATGGAGTGTGTTTGCATGTGGGCACGTAAATTTGAGCGATCGGCGAACGCCTTGCCGCAATGTGAGCAAGCATACGGCTTCTCGCCAGTGTGTGAACGTAGATGGCCCTGGAGTAGCCAGGGTCGTGAGAAGAGTTTACCGCAGATGTCGCAACTGTGCGATAGCTTGTGCGTGAGTAGATGCATGGCAAGTGCAGGCATGGAGACGTAAGCCTTGCCGCATGTGTTGCATTTCTTTGCCGATTGTGAATCGAGCGAACGATGTGTCTGCTTGTGGCGTGAAAGATTACTTGAGGTCGCATATTGCTTGCCGCACTCGGAACACTTGTAATTGCCACGCTTCTTTTTAACATACGAGTCGGATTCCGGAACATTTGAGTCTGTGCAATTGACTGCTGAAAGTGACTCTAAAGGTTCTTTGCTGCAACGACTCGCTTTTGTGCGCCCATCCAAAATGTTAAGGCCGAGTTTGGTGGACTGCGCTGCTTTTGCGTCGATAACTTCACCAATAGCCATGCCGCTGCTGGAAGTGCGTCGCACCTTGCACGCTCCTCTCGGCTCGTCAATCCACAATTTTAGATAATTTGAATTGGAATGGCCCGACTCCGATGAGGAGGACATATCTATGTCAATATCCGATGAATGATCTGAGTTTGGTGGTGTTAGTGGGGAACAATTCTCGGAATTATCGGGCGTGTTGCCGCCTGTGTGGCTGTCGTACGAGCTGCTGCTACCGTTGCTTATGTAACGTATTTTCGGCGGCCCGGTCTGACCTAGCCTAGCTTGCCCGTGTGAGGGTGGTGTGATCTCCTCAACGGTGAATATGGCAAAATTATCTGCAGCAATGGTTGCGGCACAGAGTGGTTGTGGGGACACTGGTTGTTGTTGTTGCTGCTGCTGGTGTTGGTGTAGTTGTGGCACTACAGCTCGTTGTTGTTTGGAAGCACTGGATATTTCATGCATGATACCTGTTTGTTGTTGCTGCTGATAATGACTTTGTTGTTGTATTAAGATGTGATTGTTGTTATTGTTGTTCGTGCTGCAATTAGCTGACGTCTCTTGCTGATGCAGTATGGTGACGACACAAGGCGGCGTTAATGGCGGTAGACTTTGTGATAGTGAGAGTAGATCGTGGGCGGCTTCGGTCTCCTCGATACTGCGTTCGCGGTAAAATGTCGGAAATATTGGCTCCTGTTTGATTGCGAAAGCTGGCGAGTGATTGGAAGGTTGTGTTGAGGCGCTGAGTCCGCCGGCTGGTGGCGCATAAAATATGACTTTACTATCTTCAGCAGGCGAACGTCCCCCACTTGTGGCGAGGGAGGTTAAACCTTTACCAGCCATCGTATCATTGGTTGAGGTGTTGTTGTTTCTGGAATTCAACTTAACCACATTACGACGCTGTTCCACCTTGTTGGTGATATCTGGAAGTAGCCATACAGAGACACTCATTAAATAAATTGCTGAAGAAAAAAATTTGAGTAAAAATGCAGAGAACGCCATAAATGTTAAGAGCATTACTTTTCCAAAGATTATTATTGGAAACGAGATATATATAAATATATAATTGGCGCTTTGTAACCGCTGAAGCGATTTTTTCGACGGAGCTCCTCCTCCAATTTGTGGTTTTGCGTCTTGATACTTTTCCAACAAATGGAGGGACCTACAGTTTATACTAAGCCGCCTCCGAGCGGCTGATTGGTTTTTATGAGGAGCTTTGCTTTTTTTTTATTTATTTACAATATATAGTTTGCCAGAAATCGTTGTGAAGGAAAGCCTTGGTTTATAAGCTTCTTAGCCGGAGTACCGAATTTCCCAGCTTAAATTTAAAGCGAAAGCCATCGTTAACGAGCAAATTCTAATAATTAAAATTGTATTAAAATCCATTTGTTCTCTTCGGGTTGTTTTCCACACACACACATACCTACATATGCAAAAACGCTAATCGTGTTAAATACCTTAATGGTTGCGCATACGCCATGGTGGAGCCCATAATTCATTGCACATATGGCGCGACAACAAAATTTGCTACACACACTTGTAAGAGTGTATTGGCACTACAGGTACTCGGCGCATACTGGGCAGAGCATAACTGAAATTTGATTATCGCAACATAAGAAATGAATGGAAGCAAGCAAATTAGCTAACAGAACTGAATATTTGAGCATTAGTGACATGAAGTTTTTCTATCCTTAAGCACTAAAGACCCAATTAAAGCCAGATCGGTAATGAAGGCTAGTTTGGAACAGTATTTGGAAAACTCAGCCGCTACCATGAAATCTCCAGCCAAAAAGAAATTATCAAGCAACATGGCTGTCTCTCGATGCGGCTCTGTACAGCGAAAAATCATCAACAAACCACAAGTCAACACGATGACGAAAGACAGTTGTGAGGAATCTGTCTATCCTTTATCCTTTTCTTTCGAGTAGTTGCTTACCATGCTACACTTCTAGGAGGCGGGGATACTCGTATGCATATATCGGCTATGGCTAAGAATTATCTGTCGGTTGGTATAAAGTCATAAGTACGAAAATCTCGAAATAAAAAATGAAAAAAAAGAAGAAAAGCGGACTAGGATACCAACATCAACTTGAAATGCTACTGCTAAATCAACGGTGTCTTTCAAGACTCGAACCTCGAAGGCATTAGTAGCATAAAACAGTAGAAGAACAGGCCGCACTGTATTCTATGGATTTTACCGTAAAGAGCATTTGAAGAGGTTCCATTCCATAAATCACTGAATAACAATTCCAAGCTGACGAAGGAGTAGGAGGAACGGTAGGTTTGGCCTAAAGAGAATAAGGAAGAAGCCGAGTCGAAGGTATGGATGCTGAGTGAAAGTCAAAAGACGACTCCTCGTTGGCCCGTGAAAGAACCGTAGTTGCATACCGATTGTAAAGGTATTTTTACCTCCTACATTAAAAGTCGGCCGAGGCCGGAACATTGACAACAACATCAGGCTCTAAGAACGGGAAGTGGGGAAGAATCTGGATGAAATATAGAATGCAGAGAAATCTGAACTGTGATTATACTTGTTCCTACTGCGTAATTATGAAGACTCTTCAAATAAATGAAAAGTAAAGCTCCTTATCATTCTAGAAAGCATCGGCTATGATGTGGATTGTCTTGGTATTCGTAGTTTCTGAACTAAACTCTCAAAATTACTACACATTTGTTCTGAGAATAATGAATGAGGTAAAAAACGGTTAAGAAAATAAGATTTCTCTATCCATCGAGGGCTTCGTCAGAAAGATATGAGCCTCTCCGAGGCCTTCTTTTACAAAGGCGTAAATTGTTGGCTTATGCAGGCGAAATGTTCGCCAGAATCGACTTAACATCCATTATTTTGTATAAAATAAAAATAATTTCAACTCACGACTTTTTTATTTAGAAGTTTGCATCATTTGTCAGCTCATATGTGTATGTGTATGTATACATTCATTTTATATATATAATTGGCGCTTTGTAACCGCTGAAACGATTTGGGACCGAGCTCCTCCTCCAATTTGTGATACGCCACTTAAGGTTCTTCCAACAAATGGAGAGACCTACAGTTTATTCTGAGCCGACTCAAGGGGCAGGCAGTTTTTTTATGAGGAGCTTTTGATTTTCATGTCAGAAATACACTCGGAGTGTTTGACATTTCCTGCAGAGGGGCGACCGCAAATATAAAACTTAGCTTAATTTTTAATTTAAATTCATTTTCTATAATTCTGTGGATGTTACGATATCAAGATTTGAACCCCAGCCTTACGAATGGTGGTACGTAAAGCTAACCATTCGGCTGCCGCGGCCGCTATTCATATTACTTTTCGCAAATCACCCAAGACCGACCAAGTGGGCGAGTATATAGCCCACGTTAGCTCGGATAAGATTTGAAGCCAGTAAGGAAAATCAAGTTCGAGTATAACAGGATATTACATAGCTCGCTATTGTTGCTAGTAATCAGTCAATCGCTCAAGTGCAACAAGTGACTGAAACATCAAGATATCTTAGTAATTCTTGGAGCTATCATGAACACAGAAAGAGACAGGCAGATTTGGTTAAATTGATTCGATCCGTCGCTCTGTGGAGCTCGTCGATATGCCGTACCTATACGCCAAATGTTGAAAAAAAATAATTGCAAGAGAAAAGTACGAGATTCGGGCAAATCCTCCGACCACATCAAACGTTTATGCGGCTACAAACAGCAAGCAAAAACAGCAGCAGCAGCAGCAACAGCAACAGCAACCTCATTTCCTGTTGCCTTCGCCATCATCGCGGATGTCAAACTGATTTAAATTTACAATTGGCCGTTTTGCGGCAAATACATGCATACATATGAGTTACGAACGTGATCGCAATAATTCATCAACAGCGAGCCATCAGCCATCAGCCTTCAGCCACCAGCCAGCCGACCATCTGTTTGTCGCGTACACACAAACGCAAACGCAAACGCAAACGCAAACAAAGCAGCGCATAATAATTCAAGTAAAGCTTCGTAATGGACAGACGGGCGAACGGACGGCAAATGTAGCCAAATCATACACGTAATCAACAGCTACAAGGGGGTATATACATATATATATAACTACGTAGTACATGCATGGATTCATATGTTCTTGGTTTTGTTGTAAGCCGAAAGGAATGTGCTTTACGGTGATTATGTTAATTTGTATGTGCCTGTGTGTATGTGGTATGAATGTATTGTAATTTTACAAATTATGCCGTAATTCAAAATAAATTTGCCACGTTGAAGTTGTTGGACTTTTAGGCAATTGGCTATTGGATACTATATATACAAATGTATGTTTGTATTAGTAGAGTTTAGTGAATCTCAACAGATGACCAATTATTAAGCTTTTGCAGACAATCCTGTCTAACGTCAGTAGAGGACGACGGATGCCGTTATGTACCGGAACTGAGGTTAATCCTTTACTAGATAAGCCACAGATGGAAAGAACCCCGATCTAATCAATAAGGTCTCACATCAATTCTGATGGCTTCCTCTCTTTAAAAATCCCCTTACACTTCCTGATGACAGAACCTTCTCGCTGGTGACAAAGTGTGTATGGACCGTAGAAATGGAGCCTACGTCTTCGAAATTAAGGATCATACATGATCCCTCGTGTAAAGTGCTGAGTTTACGCTTAGCAGAAACGTCGGCATGGACAAAAGTAATAATTCTCAGGCGTGAATATCGTGGCAAAGGTGGCAACTGGGTTAACATCAGTCATTCTATTGGGTAACAAAGACTCCGCTGAGAGCAAGGGATCCTTCAACTAAATCACTCTTCACCAATGCTAAGAAAAATGTCTATCGAGTATAGGTGGTATCAGTAGCGAAGCGGAGGATCATGGGTTTCACTGAAAGAGCTTGATAATGCAAAATAAATATGAAAAATCACTATAAGTTTCGAACACACCTTGCTGAGCACTTACCGGCAATGGACCGAGTTACCATTAACAAACCCGCTGGCTCTGCTGGCAGCGCGTGTGGTATAGCGATATGAATTTATTTAAATTAAGTTGTCTAAACTGCTGCACTCCCTCTCCCTTCAGGCTCGTACGGCTGCATTGTATAATTTCATAAGCACCAACCACCACCCAAATGTTAATCACATGACATTGGGCTGGTGGGTGGTGGGGAAGTGGCAAGTAACGGCGCGGAAGAACTATTTACTTTGACGCTAAAAGCGCATGTATGCAGATTAGGCCACTCAGGCAACCGACTTAACCAATGGACGAAGTGAGAGTGGGGTTGAACTAACTGCATAAATAGTCAGAGAACTGAACACCACTTTAATCGGTTGCGAAATTATGCGTAATATTCGAAAACACCTCATATTTTCACAGCTGCGTAATAGATAATCGGCCAAAGCAAAACCGAGCCGCGAGTATATGCTTGAAGATAAGTAGGCTTACTCGTATTTATACACACACATACATACACTCATGTACGAAAATTTGATGGTTTTGTAAATTTTGAACACCTCAATTGGAACTTTGAAAAGAGCGTTTCAGTGCTCGGACGGTCCCACCAAGGCAAACGTCCTGTAAGTGAGGTCGACAGGCGACTGTGTACGTAAGTCTACACAACAGCAATATTTCCGATGACAGAGGCACGTGGTTATCTGCAGCTATTACAACAACCGCGTCACGCACGAAATTGACTTTGAACGCTCCAAGCGCCCAGTCCAGGGCGCAGAAATGCAACAATGAAATATTTGCCGAAAAAAGCGGATCAGTGCTAAGGGGAAGGATGGCGGCCGCACTCGTACTCGTGGAGAGCTGTACGCTTCGCGCTTAAAGCAACAGCCTGACAGCAGCTGAGTTCGCAACGCTTTGTTGTTCATCGTTATGTGACCACCACATCCAGCATAAACATTTGCTTGCGCCAGCGTACTTATGTACACAAATACGTACATATATTTAATGTTACAAGGGATGCTTTTGGGTGTACAAGAGATGCAGAATATTAAAACGGTGCAGAGTCGCCCGCATACGAATTGCTTTATTAACCAAATTTAGCGCCGATTTTAATCAACTTGGTATGGAGAGATAGAGGGGCGGGGCAGACGATAATCTATGCGGGAGTGGGAATGACTAAAAGGAAAATTGCCTGCTACAGAGCGTGTGCCAGCCGCAATTCTAATTTATTTATATTGTGCGTGTATTGATGTGCGTATCTATTTTGGGTGGCAGGCTGTCAAGGCAAAGAGCAAGCTGGTATAAATTAGTAGTACCACAGAAACCGCTATGCCTGAGTTTGGTATCTCCGCAAGACGTATACGGTTATGTAAAGTTCCGTCAGCAAGGACCTCTCCAAGCCGTACGACACCAAACGAGGTTACCGTGTAACTTCTTTGATTTAGAATATATAACTGGCACTTTGGAAACGCTGATACGATTTTCAGCTGCGCTTCTCCTTCAGTTTGTGGTCAGCGTCTTAATGATTTATCAAAGAATTCATCATCATCAAAGTCATTGGATTCTTATGAGGAACTTTGGAGTTGATGTACGAAATACACTTCCGACAGAGGAAACGAGGGAACAAGAAAAAGACGAAATATCTCCTGCTGTTATCGCATTAATGACTCGGCTCCCCCGAGTCATAACTTTATACTGAGTAGGAAATTTACAAATAAAGACTTATCTCGACGAACAAAGGCCAAACTCTCCAATTCCCTCATCAATGCCGTCCTGCTCTATGGTGGGGAGGCATGAACGATAATAATACGAGTTTTTGAGACAAGGGTTTTGTGTAAGAGACATTTGGTGACGTTGACATAGTACAGCGAATTAGCGCTGCCAGCTTTGAAAGTTTTGGATGCAGTCCCCGCCAGTGGAATCGGAAATGACAGACATTACTTTTTGCACAAAGGCCTCTTCTCATAAACTGCATATAGAGGCGGAAGGTGGCAATTGGTTTACATGTGTACAGATGTATGTATGCGAAATTCGAAATTGGTGCACATATATAGAGCCAAACTCGCCAGACAGGCGACTTCAGTATAACTGTAATGGCTTTATGCCTCTTGGCTTCTCATTCATATCACTTCTCATGAAAAAGGTGTATTCACAAATTGAGCCATCTAATATCTCATGAGCAAGCTTGGACACTGTGTGGTGAGTAAAAGTGGGTAAACGACCGCTTAAATGACCATTTGTATGCCAACTGTTATTTGCAGTGCTTATTTGAATTTGAAACTTTTATGTTTATTAAATCCTTGAATGGTCTGCCACGTATAAAAAAAAATTAAAACGGGTATAACGGTACAACCATTGAGCTGCAAGTGTGTCCATTCATCTTCATTTGCTTCAGAGCTTACACTTTTATAGCCACCACTTGTATGGGGAGCATTTCGTGTTTGAATTGGCCATAAACGTAAATGTTCAAAAGTATTTGAAAGCAATTAAAAGTTGAATTGCTTATGGATTAAGAACATATTAAAAATGCAAAGCTTTTGGAAAATTGCTATTAAAAGCACCGAGTGCATTTAGTGCGCATTTTAGTGAATTTCAGAACTGATGCTCGTATTAATTAGCTCAAAATGGGTTTCATTCTTTCTATTGTAGTAATAGTTGAAAAACTAAAAAATTCTCGTAATCTCGTTATCTGTTTTTTTTTGCCGATCAACACTTACCTCTATTGCCATTGGAATTCACGTTAGTCAAAACTGCTCCCTTAACCATCGGCGTTTTCAAAGAAGGCTCAGTCAACTTCGTTGAGGCCATTGATGGTTTTCCCTCCGCTCCGAATTGCGCTACAGTTGCAGCAGCAACGACAGCATTGCGCCTCTGCTTCTCTTTTGCGTTCATTTCGACTAAGGACTGAGCGGCCGACCACTCTAGACGCTTACAAACTTCCAGCTCACTTGCTGCACTCTCCAAATCCAAGTCCAAATCGGTGTGATCCCTACGGTCCGTGGAACTTGAAAGCTTCTGACTGCCATTACTGCGCACGCGCTTTGTGATACTGCGCGATAACGGTGTAAGCGATACATGTTTAGCTTTCGCTTGCGTTGGCGGTGTTTGTGATGTTGGTGTTGGTGTTGGCGCTTCTGCCACTGCAGCCACTGCCGTCTTCTGAACCACCAAAATAGTCGGCTGTTGTTGTTGCTGCTGTTGCTTTAGAGGAAGTGGCGCTACATTTGTTTGGGCCGGGACAACGGGCTGGCTTTTTTTGCTTGGTGTGCTTTTTTCTGTAGGACGCTTGGATCTCACGGCCGCTGAGTGCTGACGCGTTGCCGAACGTTTCGATTGGTGTGACAGCCGCGGTGTTGAGGTCTTTGTCGCATAACACAGCGTTGTTGTTCTCGTTGTGGCGCCGGGGTTGATGACGATTTTATTGCCCGTTGGTCGCATGCAATCGACAGACATTTTGTTGGCAAAGTTTCGCTTTGGACCTTTCAAGGGAGAGATCGCTTACAACTTTCCTTCACACACATATGTAAATTAATAACAGTTTCTTGCTCTTTTAGCTCTTTTCGTTGTGACACCTGACTTGCTTGAGAATTTTTTGCTTTTCTAATCACCAAATGCTTCTTCAATGAGTTTAAATATTCTGCTATTATTATTTTTTACATCTCCAAAGGTTTGATTTTAACTTTTCTTTACTAAATCTAAATTATTAATTTTGTAATTTGTTGGTTTTGTTTTTATTATTAATTTTGCTTTTTGTTTTGGTTTCGCTCACAGTTGAGTATTGCTTCGTTGTATTGTTGACTTAAAAATTTTTACACTGAATTTCTGCTTTGGTTGCCTTTTGCTTCTGCTGTTGCTTTGGTTGTTTAATATTGCTTTTTGGTATTCACTTTCTTCGACCAAGCTGAACTTTCTGTTTCATGAGCCTGCGGATCTGTTTCTACATGTTTCATTCATGGCACTGAAAATAGTGGAAATGAGTTGTTGTAAGTTAATATATTTTTAATGTGCATAACTGCATAAATATACGTATCTTCATAGAGAAAAAAGATTGACGTTTGCTTTATGCCGCAAGTGCAAAGAAAACCAAAAAAGAAGATTCGCCTTCGATCATGCCGAAGTCTTCGTACCTTTCATGACCATTTCAAATTTTTGGTGCTTCATTTTAGTATAAAATTTCTTATGTCTGAAAAATTGGTTGGCGGGGTCTGTCCGAAAGCTACGTACTGATCTGCTTTCTAGTAAGAGTGGCTAATGGTTTTGAAATATAGTTAACAAGTCACACATTTGCTTTCTGGGGCGCTTAGAGTCCTGATTTAGTGTTTGTTAAGTCTTTTCTTAGTCTCCAACAATAATCTGCATTCCTGGGCGTCATTAACCTTGGTAACGTTTTTCTAGTAAGGAAATGTCTGGATGGAACTTATCATCTTGTTCGTATTACGTATACGACATCATAGGTCCATTTAATAATTTTTTAGAATTTTCTGATTTATGAAAGACCCTAAAAGCTCCGTCCGGTTTTAGACAGATTCAAATCTCGTACTAAATCTTTTAAATCCTTTTGTGTCAAACGAGTAGTATTTTTTAAATTGTCGGTCCGTGGGTCGTGCTGACTTAGGACAAATACGAAATCTATTGCAGAAGTCGGAATTTAGATCAATTAGGATGTTTCGGCACATACAGTTCGGCATTATGTAGGAAACAGAAACAGTCTTTCGTGGCATGTTTACGAAGTTCCGTAAGTTACAACATTAAAACACATTCAAGATTCTATTATATCTATATATATTAAGTTCTTGTCAAGCTCTACAAGAGTACGGAAATGAAAAGATATTGGTCCCGGAGAATATTTGATAACAAAATGAGGTGAGCTACTTGTTAAAAGTCGTTGTTGTTCTTAACAGAAACACCGGCTGTTCTTTTTACCGCAGGTACATACTCTAGTACATTCGTACGTATGTACGTGGGTACACTAATACTGGCTTGTGGGTATGTATGTATGTTTGCAGAGAACATTGCAATATCATGACACGAAATAAATACCTGTTACCATCACAGCAAAGCAAAGCTGCCTACGTAAGAGATTCCCAACAACTTGCTAATCAATTTCTTCTTCTTCCTCGTCTTTCCACGAATTTCTAACAAATTTATCGATAATTGTTGATTGCACATTAGGCTTTCAATTTAGGTATGTGTTGTTGTGCTTGCGTATGGTAAAAATAAATAAATTACCAATATATGTACATGTACATTTGGGTGAATGTATGTGTAGAAGCAACAAATTTCGTAATTATTCTTCAGGTGGTTGTGTGGCGGCGAGGGAAGTGGCATCAAAAGAGCGTTATATATATTTATATATATGTATACGAAGCTTACGGTTTGATTAAATTTATGTATGTGTGTGCTTATGTATGGAGATATATATGTGTGTATGAATCCATGAGTATGTAGTATGTATGCGTGTGTGTTTGTAGAATTTATCGCGTTAAGGTGAAAGTAGCGAAGCAATCTTAGCAGTGCAATTAGTCAAGTCACTTATACACGCTTACCTACTCACAGACATATGTACGTGCAAGTAAATAAGTAAGTAAATAAGTATATATGTATGTGTATATGCACATCGAGTCCCACTTGTTTTTGTATGTACAATACATACATAAGTATGAATTTGTGTCTTGCCAGCACTTGATATATTATTTATAGCGGGATTGTAAGCGAAAGGAACTGAAAGCACAAAAAAAAAACAATTTGCTGTTGGTTGGCAACACAAAATATTGAAATCATTGTTTGCATTTCAAGCTCATTTCAAATAATTATATGTTTTAAAGCTGTCGTGCATGCAAGTGCATATGTATGTGTGATTGTCGCTTGGAGAGTAGCCAGCAAGTCCCCACGCAAACCGCCCTCCTACACCCTCTCAACGGTGACAAATGATTAATAGTTTTCTTTCACTTTGCTCCACAAATCGAATAAATGCGCCGAGAGTTTTGCTTGTCATCATCTTAAACAATATCTTTTTACTGAAAAGCTTTAATTTGTGCTGTTAATTTGATTATTTTATTCATTTGCTTACTTCACCGTTTTTCAATCACTTTGATTTTTATTCATACATCACAAACAGTCATTTCGAAAAACAACTTGGCTCGCTGCCAAAATCACTCTGCAAAACTTTCATGAATGGCAATGCCGTCGCTCGAACGACACCGACTGCATGCCAGCCGAAAGCCAAAAACGAAGTTACTCTATTTGTACCAGCTCTCTTACTCAATTTAGTGCGAGCCATTCTCACTCTCGCTCTCGCTCTCTTTCTCTCACTCGTTAACGACTTGGCCTCCGGTGTTGCGCCTAAATTGCGGCAACAGGAAAGAAATCAACACAATTTAAGAAAATAAAAGGAGGCGAAGAAACTAAAGTAAACAACAACAATTAAATGGTGTGGTATTAAGTAATCGTCAGATATCGTCATAATATATATATTTTTAGTTTTGCCTAGTTTCAATAGAAGATATTTTGAACGAGGTCTACGTTTAGGCGCTAACTGACCAAATTATTTACTCACTTTGCTTCAAGTCGCTTTAATTTCTAGTTAGTCGCAGATTTATCCTAAATCTAGCCCATCAGCCATTAACTCTTTCCACTGCCAAGCTATTTCTGCTTCATATCATATCTTTTCGTTGTTGTCTTTGTGACTTCTTCTTTCGCTGTCGTGTTTTTGCTGAACGCAATGCATCTACTCCTTCTCTCCTCTCCTCCGTATCACTGTTATTCACAATTGTTAATATTTTTCTATAAAAATTACTTAACATAAGACTTGTTTTTGTGTCTGTTTCTGTTTCTGTATCTCATCGACAAAGAGAAATCAGCAAAAATTGACTTGGATAGCAACAGCACAGAGAACAGGAAGTTTATTATAATTTTTTATAAGCAACTACTATTATTTCGCCATTTAGTAGCATGCAGTATATTTGATTCGGGATATAGTAGCAAACAGTTTTTGAAAGAAGAATAGAGTAGCGGTGATGAGACGCGAACGCGGAAGAGTTTCATCATCAATATCATCATCATGTAATTTAACGATTTTTTCTTCCTTTCGAAGGCAGTACGCAGCACGCACAGGTCAGGTCCAAATAGAAGAAACACAATTTGGCCACTAGCCCACCATCACACACTACACACATAATAACATACACGTATAGAGTTGATTCGAGAAATTTAAAAACTGTTAAGCATTAGCAAGTATTTGAAGAAATTACAGCTTAAATTGAGCTTGAGAGTTTCAAGTTTCAGTTTTTAGTTCACAAAAATTCAGTTTAGTTTAGAAGATGAAAAATAGTCTAGAAATTGAATAATAAGTAAGTAATATATTTATTTTTCGTTGGCGCACAATACACTACTGAATGTGCGTCAGTTTTTGACGTACCACTCCCTTCTACTGGTGCGACAGGCAGTCGCTTTTATTCGCCAAGCTCGGAAACTATAGGCAAATATCATTCGAATCATTCTTTCGGCAAATAATTTTTTTGCCTACCACCGGGCAAAGAAGATGGCGCTCATTTCAGCTTAAGTCCACTTTCTCTCCGCTCTCAGCGAGCGCAGTAATTGAATGTTCGCATGGAATGTAAAACTGTTTTCGAGTTGCTTGGCCAATGTGCCAGTTTCAGCACTCTTGACAGCAGCGAGTCAGCACTTTAATGTGTGCTACAGAGAAGGTGCATCGGTGGGGTGTTGGTGAGTGGTAAGGTGGTTAAATGGCGGTGAATTGGTGTTGCTGAGAATAATAGTCTTGAGCGATATCATGCACAGCAAAAAGAAATTTTGCAAATTTAAAAAGCGACTTTTTCGAAAATAATAATTTTTTTTTATTATTGAACATAATTTTTTTAAAATGCTTTTCGCAAGCTGAGAGTCTCGTCAGAAGACTGGCAAAAAGTTTCAAGAATTTTCCTCCAAGCACACAGTGGTAGAGTCACTTTTCCATAGGCACTCTCCTTCAAAGGCTGCTGGAAAACGTGTCCGACCATCTAGTCTTGTCGCACAAAAAAGATCAACTTTTGGCTATGCATATGAAGCTGTAGCAGTACGAAATCGTATCTCAAATCGAATGAAAAACAAATTCCCTTAGAAGCATTATAAAGTTTGTAATTTAGTTCAGTGCAGCAGTCTTAACTTGTTGGAGGTTGGAGCTCAAGCAACCCTCATGGCGGTGATGTGAACGAATATTTTTCCATGCCGTCGTCACTGGCACAACAAGTAGCCGAGGAGCAACACTTTGTCGCGCTCACAAGTGGTTGTTCGTGGCATTATGCTTTTATTTATTCGCCTTCGTACTCAACTCTTTTTTGTTGTTTTGAGCAAGAGTGGTAGTTGGTATTCTTTCTCTCTCGCTTTCTGAAAACACGCTCATTTCCGCTCTCACTCGCATCCTCGTTAAACGACTCGTGCACTTGTGCATCTGCTTCTGCGCATAAAAATGGCGACCTGTGTGCTTCCGGGTTGTGTTGAATGGCCACCAACTGACAACAGTGGCAGGGGTTGTTGAACAGGTGGTGGGTGGTCGGTCGGCCGTCACAAAAGCGTACGAAGCGCTCAACAGGACGTTGTATTTAGTGTGATGTGAGTCCTGCATTCTGATGATGTGTGTGTGTATGTTTGGGTTCTCTCAGTAAGCCAAATAAAGGCTTGCACACACACTTGTGGATTGTTCGGCATACATACACATTGACGATTTTCGTTCGTCCCCCTCCACCCCATTTTTCATTTGTCTGTTATTTAGCGCGCGGCAAGTCACCAACACATGCACACATATATAAGAGTAGACATTGAATGCGACGAGACGGGGTGAAGTGAGTGAACCCAGTTCCTGTGTTGGCTGCACTACGTTGCATGCAACGAGACGAGAGGCGACGTGTTGCTTCGCTTCGCTCTGTGCTAGTTAAAGGCAAACTTGTATGACATTTACGACTATGTATGTGTGCGAGATTTCACAATTCAAGGAATTTGTTATTGTAACCGTACTTTAGTAGACAGTTTGCAGCACGAAACTCGTCTAAACTGCCTCAAAATATGCGTCGCGCACCTGCAGCGCGGGCTCCATGGCGTCGGTAATAGTAGTGGTAACGGGTAATGGTAGTGCTGATGATGACAGCCACAAATGGCCAACAATACCACAAACAACTATGGTGTGTAGTTACGACGCGCCAAAATCGACGGATTGTTTATGCTTCTGAGCGTATATTCGAATGAAAGCAACGGAACTTTTTTTTTTACTTTCCGGTATTTTTAGTGGCGTTTCAAAAGCTAAAATCGATGGTTTATATTTATGAAAATTTTCCAGCACTCTTTTGCATAGTAAACAGTTAGGTTTCCCGTTGGTTTAGTTTAAGTTTTAATATCAGACTATTTCATCTGCCAGTGCTTAATCGGCGTGTGGATCTCTTAACTGGGCACATTGAGGCGCTACCTGCGCTCAATAATTAATGAGAGGGTTGTTAAGTAGCGGTACGCGACTCTTCTGATTCGAAATTTTTGAGCAGCATTACGGTTTTACATCTCCATGTTTAACTTTTCCTGTTCCTCTATATTGGTCTCCCAATATGTTGTGCCGAAAATAGTTAGTAAGTTAATTAATACGTTTGCTCGATCAAGGAACCCGGATAAAGCGAGCCTTTTCGTGCTCATTAGTTGTGATACCCATGTTGGGCCTGTGAAGGAGATTTCTCTTATTGCTCCCCAGATGTTCAAACTAATCGGCCTCAGAAATACAAAAAAAATTAAGAAGCTTTTAAATATTCTTAGCCGGAATTGGAACTGCGAGGTGAGAAGTTATTTGGAAAATCAGAATTTTTAAATACCAAGTAATGAGATCAGCCCCTCCCGCCCACCAAGGAAATGATCAAAAATGGTTAGAGATCTGAGCTGTTGTTAAAGATGAGCAGACCGAAGAAAGCTGTGATAAGTCTTTGGCAGTAAAAATGTGTGAATAAAAGCACTTATATGTACATACACGTATACATATGCATTTATTTATCTGTCTATTTGTGTTAGCAAAGACATGCAACTTAAAACATACAACAGAAAATACGGCGGTGATAAGAAAATGAACGAGGTGCTGAGATGGTTGACGCTCGCCGCTTCACGTCAGTTCCGTTTCAGCTCGTGTTCGCTGCACACAAATTAATAACGATTAGAAAAGCGAGGGCAGAGGAAAGAGGTGGACCCACTAGGAGCTACTAGGCAGTCAGTCAGGCTCATTATTGAGGTATTACGGTAGTTTCACAACTAATCACGAATACTTGTACTTGCACGACCATTCCTACCCTTCGCTTGCTGGCTCAATGACGCCAACATGCCGCTGATGACCGTGGACATTAATATTGTAATAAAAACAATTACAACAATAATGGCAACATTTACTGGAGGCATCGGCACAACTATTATACCAAAATGCCTCACACTTACATTAACACGCACACACACAAGCGCGTGTGTTCACCACATACACACAAATAGCCGAGTTTCCCACTTTCGACTAATTGCTGTAATTACCAGCGATATTAGGCAACTCGAGACGCCACCGAATGAGTGTTGTATTACGTACGAGGTGTACGCAGGCATGTATTTGTGTATATGTGCCTGGTAGCTAAAAGAATTTGTGCCCTCTCAAACTGTGCCGTCAAATTGTGGCGCAAGGACCTGTGGCACTTGGAAATACTTGTGGTCTTCCTTGGTGTGCTTGCTTTGTGGCTTTTTCTAGCTCTGCTTCTTTGCTTCGTCCAACGGTATCACCGCAACTCCGAGCTACAGTCCCGTTCTAGCGGAAAATTTAAATAAATAAATGCTTAGTATTTAGGCAACTGACAATGATAAATTCCAAATTGATTACTAGCCACCTAACCAATTAACCAACGAGCCAACAAAAATGAAAACGATCAGAATTACATGGAGACATACGACCCCCGGACGCCTTGGGTTGTTCAATGGCACCACGTGCTAAAGACGATATGACCTCCTTGAAGGAAAGTAGATATACAAATAGGTGCAGAGGTGAATTCATCGGCACTGAAGTTGAACCACCAAACTGTGGTCGCTTATGATGTTATGGAAGCGAGTATACCCGAGGTCAATGAGGCATTTAAAATTTCAGTTACAAGAATTAAAGTTTTAATACTGGGGAAGAAATCGTATCTATGAAGACTGGGCCCCCAACTGAGTTATGAACAATTGAACTGTATGCAGATATTTTAAAATTTCTTTTCAAGTCGGAATAGAGGTCGTAGGTACGTATTGATGCGGGGCCGACCTTTGGAGACCAAAACCGAAAAACCGGTGCGTCATTATGAGGAACAGAAACAAATAGATATAGAGATGGAGAATGCACACTCCCTTCCTTGGCTTTGGTGGAGGTTCAATGAAGGGCTAAACAATGAATGATCTTCAGGAGTACATAAATATGATATAATATTTGGTGTAGTAAAAATAAATCCATTATTTGTGCATAAAATTGAAGGCTTTATACAAATAGTTCTAAACGGTTTTTCGTGCAATTTTTAACTCTTTTGCAATCGAAACAGTGCCCACATGACGGTCGGACTCGACAATGCCAGTGATCTCATCGACAGTTTTTACAGTTGGCATTTCGAAATTGTGTATGATTGACTGTAACAGTATCAGGACCAACAAAGCAATTCACATATTCAGCCACCTGGCTTGCGTTTTCGCCCTTATCGATGGAAAACTGTAAAATATTGCCTGTTTTTCCTTTACTAGTGTCCGTCTTTGACGCGCGCTCAAACGAAACCGAATACGTCAATCACAAAACTGTCACAAAAGTTTATTTGGTATGAAATGTCATGTTTCTAACGCCATCTAGCGGAACCTGATCGGTCTTATACAAGCGCGAGATACAGTTAAATAAAGCCATCTACTGAAAAAATAATGGATTTCTTTTTACTACACCTAACATAGATGCATTGAGTAATTTTTGTGGTCGCCAGCGGCACATTACTCTATATTATTTTGACATTCAGTGATTATCCAACACTGCGTCACTGCGTGACTGCGACGCTGTCACTATTTGAAGAGGCGATTTAATAATTCGGCAACAGAAGAAGAGCAAAGAAGGTATGTACGAAGAATAGGGAAAAACAATCGAAAACTTCGCTTAATGGAGCATTCGCTTCAAAGAATCTTTTTTAAAGCACAGCAGACTTAAAACCCAAAGCCTAAATTCGATGATGCTTTGAAACGACGGTAAAAAAAAAATGAAGCCAATATTACTTTATGAAGGTGAGAACTCTGGAATTGAACCGTGTCAGCTCAAGTTTTCACAGGAAAAATTAATCTGAATGGAAAAAAGGAGTGTGAGCCTCAACAAGCAAATAACTAAAGAGTTACCCTGCGTCGATTTAAAC